TATTCTCTGACCCTACACACCCCAGCCACTACTTGTTTCAACCTCTGCCATCTGGAAAGATATACCAGAACATCTGAGCCAGAACTACCAGATTCCAGAACAGTTTTACCTGAGCTGTCAAACTGGTCACATTAGCAACACCAACCAGGACATGAATACACACACTATGTACTCTTACTCATCTAAACTCTGCACATTGCATTATTAACTGGAACTCTGTACTTTAACATTAAGTTCCATAGTCGCTATACTTGATCATTAACCTGTATGCTTTCTGTACTGAAACATTAAGCTGTATATTCTCTATATTTGAGCATTTATGTTGTAAAGCTATTTGTACACATTAAGCTGCTAGTGCTCATTTACCTGCACTGTACAATTTGTGAATATAACATATGTGATACAATTTACAAACACTATAATTTACATTCCTAACCTGGTTTACCTCAACATACTGTACATTTCCAATTAAATATACATTATAAAACAGCTCAGCAGTAAATCGCTCAAAGACTATGTATTTATTGTTTAACTGTAGTTTGCACTTTAATTCTACCACTACAGTTACTGTTTATGCACCTTGTCTGTTGTCTCTGCATTTTTTTTATCTTTGTTTTTATCACTGCACATACACGTAAACTGACAGTGTTTCATTATACTGTATAACCTTGTATTGGTATAATAACAATAACATTGAACTAAATATGCAGGAATGCAATTTGCCCACCCATTCTATCATGTAACATTGTTGGGACCAAGAGCTATTTGCTTCCTTGCCCAAAGCCCCGACATATGATGGTTTTTAAAACCTAAACTGTGCTGTGGTTTTGTTCTAATTATTGTCTTAATCACTTACAAAAAATAAACAAAAATAAAATAAACAAAAATAGAAAGGGTATTCAATCAAAAATAAAAGAAAGTAGAATAAAAGACTTCAGCCACTGAGTTCTTGTGGAAGGGAGAAAAAGGCTTATTTATTTCAGCATCAGGTGGCACAGGGTCTCGAGAGACCCAACTGCGCAAATACAGTGTTCCAAACAACAGTTTATATACCATTTATCTGGGGTAATGTGATATCCCCCCGCCTTACTTCTCAAATTTTTATATTAGCTCATTCTCTAATAGGTGCATCTCTTCGTCCATCAATTTGGCCATCGCATGATGAGCTCACTCCTCAAAACTGGCTTCAACAGGTTTTTACCAGCCTGCTCTACCTTTCAAGGTCAACTTGCCCCTCTCTTCACTGGGTCAGTAGGTACACACAGGCCTCTCTGTGAACCCAGCTGCTTTCCAGTGTCTAGAATCTCCTATGCAGACAGTCTAAGGCCTACACTTTGTGAGAAAATGAATATTCTCTGTTAGGCAATACTTCCTATTTGGTTATTGATTACAACATCTAATCTATTTGATTACTGATTAAGGAAATATTTATTCAAAATCTCTGTCAACATGCTATGTTCAAAGGGTCACAAAAAAAAAAAAATTGCTAATATAAATTTCTTTTTGTGTTGTATTTTGAACCTGACTGTCAGATTTTTTTAGACGTTTTGAGAATAGAGATCATGCCCTGGGAATGCAAAAATGTAAACTGATGACATTGTGTTTTCAGTGTTCACTGGGTCATAATGAAAAAAATCTACAGCATAACATCATTAAAAGTTTATTTTCAAGGACACACCGGAATTTTTATTTTGAGACATTCACGAGAGATTAATTAGGAGGTAACTGACGCCCCAGGACACAGTAGTTTGCCTGTTAGCCTTCAAAGGGCACTTTTAATGTTTGACTGAAAAGAAACCAAAATAATGGACAAGGTGCCAAACATTGTCTCAAACGACAAGAATACAATTTAGCAGTTCCACTGAATAAGGCGAAGACAAAAGTTGTATTTAAAAGATATACGTGAACATTCTGGTGGAACGACTGGGAACATCTGTACAAAATTCAACAACGGGATGGTTCAGCTGTAATCAGGAGATATGATCAGAGGCAAGAAATTATTCTTATAGGACATACCGGCACGGTACGTGGCACGATAGGAAGTTCTTGAAGTTCTTGCAGATTCCCAGGGTAACAAGCTTACTTGCATACGATTTTTTAAATAATTTTTTTTATTCGATTGATTTTTGTTTTCAGCATGGTAGGTGGCGGTAATGCCCCTGACGATAGCCTGCCAACCTCCATTCACACAGAAGAAGAAAAACAACGAGAAAGCTGGCGAACAGGAACCCTGTACTCGTCGTGTTGTTTTCTGATCCCGTATTGGAGTGAATGCGCGTTGAATCTGATGTGGCTTTCAAAAAGCGACCACAACAGGACAGTGAGTGCACGAAATGTGGTTAAATCATTACATTTAGTGAGCTGTGATTCACTGCGTGCCTGTTTAGCTAAACGCTAGCTAAGCTTGAGGACGGTAAGGGACCGTCTGTAAAGTGGTGGTATTGTTGAAAAACGTAAAACATTCACCGAGATGAGGAACCTGTTTGTGTCATTCACAAAGACTTGAAACTAGCTGAAATATAGAGATAATGTGAAAATCACTCATTAACATAAACAGGTAACTCAGCTTTCACATATCATGGAAAAAGCATGCTTTTAATTCAGAAATAAAACTTCACTAAATAAAAACAAATAAAAAAAAAAAAAATGAAAACAAACACCAAGAATGGCAGAGGAAGGTACAATCTTTCATTAAAGATCAAGGCATCACAAATGAAAGCGTTAACCTTAGTTGCCCAGGGCCACAACTGAAGCACACAAAGAAAATTTTTTGTATACACATCTGGGCAAAGGAGGGGCTCACCTGTCTCCTCCTTTGCCCTTCCCATTTTATTCATCTTTACATAATTTGGGAATCCTTCTCAAATTACATTATTCTACTGGCTACCAATATGAACTAATCAACACATCAATTCTGGGACTTGTCCAGCTTTGTCTGAAATTTGTCTGAATTTCACTTGGCCATGTTCCACACCCTTGGCTCATCTAAAACTCCCTTTATTTCCCACATGTCCCCTTATCTTCCACCAAACAGAAATTGTTTATTAACACATCTCACAAAAACTATAAGCTGTAGTTTGATAAAATCTTCCTTTTTGAATTTTGAGTTTTTCTTTGTTACAAATACCTACTATGACTCATACATATGACATATACATCTAAAATCACTGTATTTTACTGAGACACATCTGACAGATGTGGTACAACCTTTAGTTTGGTAAAGTACACCTTGATTTTAATGTGTTTTTACTTCAGTTATTCAAATTAAGTCATTACAATGACACTCGTTGTACATACTGATTTAAAACCATCTGTAATTTGTTGCCACATCTCACAAACCTACTATAATATCTAGTTTGAACAAAAATCTTTCTTTTGAAATTTCTTAGTAATAAATATTCCAATATGAATACTAGACCCAGGTGTGGTGGAACTAAACCCTGCAGAGTGGCAGTTCTGTGAGGTAAATGATCAGGCATCATGGTTTATGCAGCATGCTACAATTCTACTAAGTTACGTTGGTAAAATTTTTTCAAAACTAGTATGTGTTGTAGGGTTGCGAGAAGACAATCTGCAGGTTCACTTCATGCACATTTACACTGCCAAAGCTGCTTAAAATATCAATCCTTTAAAGTTGAAGACTTGGTTATGTTAGTTACTGATTTTCATATCATCTGTATTTCAGCAGATTTCAAGTCTTTATAAATAACACCAGCAGGCTCCTCATCAGTCAGTAAGTTTCTCTGCAAAACATCAAACTACTCTGAATGGCATTGTTTACATCTCAGCCATGGAATTATGCAGGTAAATGGAAAACATCAGTGGAATTTACCAATAATGACATCTCATTAACAAAACCGAAACCCTTTAAACCCTTCATATTATTGTCACTCACAATTGCCAAACATGTTCTGCTGAGCTGGAAAGACAGAACCCAAATCTCCATAAAGCTTTGGCTTAACCTTTTTACAGATTACTCTGCCCTGGACCACCTCTCAGCATATCTAAAAAGAAAAAAAAAGGCAAGCTGGACTTTGTACAATATATTGAGAGCTAATTCCTTGTCACAGCCTCTCTGTGAAAATGATAGAAACACATATTTAAAAATATTAGAACATTATGAAAAATGTTACCATTTATTTGCTGAAATTACTATATTAGAGGAGAAACTAAGATTAAATGTGGTGTATTTACAACGTTTTTGGAACCCTCTCAATGGTGACTGTAGCCAAAGAGTTCAATTTTTGTTTCATTAGTCCACAGAACGTTATTCCCAAATGCCTCTGGTGTATCCAAGAGTTGTTTGCAAACTACAAATTTGTGATGAAATTAGAGTTAAGGTTAACTTCTGATAATCTTTCTGTGTAGAAGACGTTTGTGCAAGAACACTGCACAGTAAGCCAATGCAAATCGCGTGCCATCCAGTTTTGCTTGGCACACCTAGTCCACAAGTGTCTTTTTCAGAGATATTTCTTGATCTTCCAGACCTTGCCTTTAAGTCAGGCTTCTTTTCTTGCTTTAAAAGAGTCAATTATGAAAAGAGGTAAAGAGGTAAGCTCTGAGATCTTATCCAAAATAATAATAATAATAATAATAATAATAAAAAATAATTAAAAAATATATTTAAAAAATAAATTACATAGGACAAACGTAATACGCCTGAAATCATGGGCACAGGACATAATAGTGATGAATAATTCCAGTCATTTTTGTCATGTAGAAATCCAGCTTAGCCCTGGAGTTTCTAATATCTGCATGATGACATGACTACAGTGGTCTCTATGTCTGTTTGATAAGTTTGAGCTTTTCCACATCAGATGGAAGTTTATTCTTTTTTACACTTTTTGCCAGTTGATGGAAGATGAGCATGCATGATTTAGATCAGATTACATTTGTTGCATTTCTCATTAAGTTTGGAATTTCTTTCCTCTTTTTACAGAAATAATGTCCTGTTTCAAGTCTTCTCCAGCACTTTCCAACCCTAGCTTTAATGTGCTTTCATAAAGACGTCAGGACGTTTCACCAAGAGGAATGTTAAGCTGCTGGAACAGGTTAAACATAAAAAATATGGCATCCAGAAGACGTTCAATTACTCAGGAAACATTATCTGGTACCCCCCACATGAACACATCTCACAGACAAACACAGAAAAACGCAGCAAAGAGAGAACTCATTACTGCCTGGAATGTGGAAAGAGTTTTAATCATCAGAGTCATCTCCAAGAACACCAGCGCATTCACACAGGAGAGAAGCCGTATCACTGTTCAGAGTGCAGGAGGAGCTTTAATCGTCAGAGGCATCTCCAAGAACACAAGCGCATTCACACAGGAGAGAAGCCGTATAACTGCTCAGAATGTGGGGGGAGTTTTAATCGTCAGAGTGCTCTCCAACGACACCAGCGCATTCACACAGAAGAGAAGCCGTATCACTGCTCAGAGTGTGGCAAGAGTTTTACTATACAGTGTCATCTTCAAGAACACCAGCACATTTACACAAGAAAGAAGCCATATTACTGTTCAGAGTGTGGAAAGAGTTTTACTGTACAGAGTACTCTCCAACAACACCTTCGGGTTCACACAGGAGAGAAGCCGTATCACTGCTCAGAGTGTGGGACAAGTTTTACTGTACAGAGCTCTCTTAAACAACACCAGCGCATTCACACAGGAGAGAAGCCATATTACTGCTCAGTGTGTGGGAAAAGTTTTAGTGTACAGAGTCATCTTCAAGACCACCAGCGGATTCACACAGGAGAGAAGCCGTATCACTGCTCAGAGTGCGGGAAGTATTTTAATCGCCAGAGTACTCTCAAAATACACCAGCGCATTCACACGGAGAGAAACCATATAACTGCTCAGTGTGTGGGAGGCGTTTTAATCGTCAGGGTACTCTCCAAAAACACCAGCGCATTCACACAGGAGAGAAGCCGTATCACTGCTCAGAGTGTGGGAAGAGTTTCAGGCATCCAAAGACTGTGATGACACACAAGTGCAGAGGTGGAAATTAGGGGTTGACCAATATATTTTCTTCTGGGACAATTATAAGTAATCAGGGAAACTGATAATCGATATTTGATGCCGATATTTATTTATTTTAAATGTGATGTTTGTAGTGTGAAAATGTACAAGAATTCAATTCTTACTCATACCTTACATTATTTGAATATCAGAACATTATAAAAATAAGGTGCTCTGAGCTTTAGACAATGTGTTGCCAAAAATAGTAATACACATTTTAAAGTTATCGTTAAACAAATAGAAATTATTAAATATCTTTCAATTTTTTTTTCATTTTTTTAAAAAATGGAGCTCAAAAAGGGGAAAAGGGGCCATATATATATATATATATATATATATATATATATACGAATGATTATGTTTACTTACTGACGGTGTTGAAAGGGCACACATCAGGTGGAGCATGTCTTTTCAGTATATAGGTGTCAGAAAGATGTAATGTAATAAATAAAGATTATGTAAATGCGATAACAAGCAGTAGTGGGATGTGTTAAATGTATAAGATGTATTCTGTGCTGTGTGCTTCGATAAAAATGACTCTTTTAGCCTAAGCAAAGCAGTGGAGGTAGCAAGCTTCAATTGTCTATACTTTTAACAATCGAACATGGATATTAAAATGAGCAGAACTTGTGTTTAACTTATTTCTAAAACATAAAAAGGTCATTTATAATTTCACAAATAATTTATGGCTTTCTGGAGGCTTGTCTGCATATTGGCACCCACTGAAGCTCTGCTTTAGGCACACATATTCTGAACGTGTTCAGACTACTACAGAAGCAGTGTGGGTCTGCACACCATGTCTGCTCCCATACATAGAAACCTTACTCTCACCAAACAAATGTGATGTTTCAGGCAGGGCTTGAACTGCGTGCACAAGTCATGCTTGTCTGGCTAGAGTGGGCGAAATTATATTAAACTGTGCATTGTGCTTTTTTGCCAACTGTGTTGCCCAAACTCGACATTTCCCACCTTTCCTCTTCTGTGGAAGTGAAGCAGGCACTACTTTATTCCTGTGTCTCTCACAAACGCCGGAAAGCATGTTTGATTGGATTTACTGAACATGTGGTCCACATTTCAACCAATCCAGCATTGGTGTGGCTGGGACATAAACACAGAATACAGAAGGGCTGGTTGGTTGTACTCGATGCGTCATCCACATTTAACAATGTGGGCGAGACTTCGAACCAGACTGCAGAACCGTTTTTTTTTATTACGGTTGCATCAAATAGGATAAGATCCTCCTATATTAGTTCCCACAAAGGGGGAACTTCACAGTGCTAAGCAGCAAAGGGATAGCAAGGCACTCAAGAAACAGAAGTATCAACAAATATACATAACAAAAATGCTTTCATTGTCAAGGAAGCAAGTTGAAATTAAGATTAAGACAATCAGAAAAATGTCAAATATCGGCTCTGTTTATCAGTTGGATTCATAATCTGTTCAACTTTAGTGGAAATGGGCGGTAATGAGTGTAACCATAACACATTCCAGAAGTAAAAGTCACAGGGAATGGTGCTTCCAACCCAGATTTCAAACTGTTTTAGGGTAAAATCACCTTTTTTTTGTTTTATGCTGTTTCTTAAACATGAGCATAAAATGGAACACGATTTCCATGATTACCAAATCAAGCCCACAGGTCATACACCCAGTGGAAAGTTGTGGTAGTGCATATTCTGCATAAAATTTATTTATTTTGATGTTTATTGAAAACTGTAAGGAAACAATCAAGAAGCTTCACAATCAATAATAAGAGTTTTTTTTTTTACTTTCTTTTGACCATGAAGACTGCGACAATGAAGTTTTTGCTGTGCTAGGCAGAACTGAACAGCTTTGTAATGGAAACACTGGAGTATGAAGGATTGCAAGACATCAAGCTATATGAGTGATGCACATGTGACCTCTCCTCAGTATGACCTACGCATGGCTGTGCTACGTGGCATAAAGTTGCATGCAGGCCAGATGATGTTGATGTTATTTGTGATGCTTGGAGAAGGATTATTCTTTGAGAAAGGCACATATCTCCTACCAGACATGGTGGTGACCTATGGTACAGCAGTTGGAACTAGGTATCTCTATGATTGTAGTACTGGGTGAAAGGTGACTATTGTTGGGACATTCAAGGCTTTGGGCCAGGCCAGATCTTGCTGATGTCATTAGCATGTGCATGATGGACACTACCATTGTTGACTGAACCTCACCAGTGACACCGTGTTCAGTTATATTTCTGAACCATTCCAAGAAAACAGTATGATAGATTTGATTTGTACTCATGAATTAATACATGCATGCAATTCTGTATGTAGATTGTTTAATTTATATATAATTGTTTATACAGTCAGGTCCATAATTTATGGACATTTTTGTAATTTTGCCACTGTACACCACCACAATGGATTTTAAATGAAACAATAAAGATGTAAAGATGAGGTGTAGACTTTCAGCTTTAATGCAATGTTTAACCAAAGCATTGCATTAATCATTTAGGAATTACAGCTATTTTTATACAGTCCCACCATTTTCACAGGCTCAAAAGTAATTGGACAAATAAATGTAACTATAAATACAGGAATTAGTTTTCATAAGTCAATGACTGCCTGAAGTCTGAAACTCATGGACATCATAAATGCTGAGTTTCCTCCCTTGAGATGCCCCCAGTTTTGTCTTCAGCAAATGAGATCCGTTCTCAAGTGGGTTGAGGTGAGGTAACTGGCAGAACATTGCATTTCCTTGCTTTAAAGACCCTGGTAACATAAAATATTGACATTTTTTATTATTCTAAGTTTGAGTGTTATGTTAAACATTCAGCACAGTTTAAAGGAAAAAAAAAAGAAATATAATAAAACACTCCTCAATAATGACAAAATTTGCTTATCCTTCCAGTCTCAGAAGAGTCAGGGCATTGTCTTAATATTTCAATGAATATGTGTGATTGACAGCCCTGTATCATTGATTGGTATGGAAAGCCAAAAAAGATTCACCAAAAACGAATTGGGCATCAAAAATTTGTCAGTGCATTTAAATTTATTTAAAGTAAATGTACAAAAACAACTGATCACATTACTTCCATTGCTCATGCACAAAATGTTGTGTTTATGTTGCCATGAAACGCACACAGCCTTGAGACAGAAAAGTTGCATTTTCTAGCTTTTACTTTGAATTGCGGTTTTGAATACAAGGATTATTAAGACAGTTTTGATATATGCAATTGAGTTACCTGCCCTATATACAGACTTAACATAATGCAGCATGCGTCAAGAATTGGGATCATACAACCGTACATTTTCAAGCCTACCAATGAGGATTTTGTAGCTCATTCAGAAGTTTGAGCACCAGATAACTTGCGTTCACAGGTGTGACGGAATGGTAGGTTTCTTTGTTTTCCAGCAGAAAATGAGGCAAAAATGCAGATTGTGGTGAAAACATAGTTGTTCACGTTTTTTACCTGATGAAGTTGTGAGGAAAAAACTATACCTGTATCTGATTACAGGGGGAATTGCAAGCACTCCCTACAAGGGAGTGCTCACTATTCTGCGTGTCATATGCTGAAACCAGGCAGCTAAATAAAATAGGCACAAACCATGCATTCGACATGTATCCAGTGCAGTATACCTTGCAAAATGCAGGACCACTTCAATGTTCCTGTCAGTGTAGTTTTAGGGTTACTTTTTTCTACTTTTTGTTCTGTTCTTCTTGTCCTCTGTCTTGGTAATTCTTTTCTCTCTGTTAGGACGTTTCTCTGTCTCTCTCTTGGGCTCTCTCTCAGATCGAGGAGGAATTCTGGAGGATCACCTCAAAGCCACTACAGTCATCATTCCTGGGGAAACTGGACCAATACACACCCAGACTTCTGAGCTTGTTGGGAAGAAACTTAGTGAGATCCTTAATATGTTAAATAAGGCATGTACTTACAATAGTGTAGCATTTGGTTTTATGTAGTAGCATTCTGATGTCTGTATTTAACAATCTCATGTTTTCTTATTTTCAAGAGCACCGAGTCTCAAAGAGAAGTTGTGCACAGAGGCCTCACTCTCTTTCACTTTGTGAAAAGATGGAGTTAAATCAAGGACCACCAGGTAAAGAAAATATATCTCTGCCATTGCTCTGATTCAAAACCCTGCCTGTGTGAGACAAGGTTGTGCAATATAGGATAGCTGATTGCTTATTGGTGTCAGGTATATTTGTTTCTACTCGAGTATTCAGCAGTTTGAAGGCATACTTCAAATCTTTAGGTCCTAACTAAGAAATTTGGAACTTTCAGATAAGAAACTTTCGGAAAATGGAAATACACAATACAGAAGAATGCACAACAGTTGAGATAAACAAAGTAAGCATAATTTTTAAATGTATGTGTTTACTTTTTTAACATGGAAAAGGTACCTATATTCACATGCTATACTTACATGTAGAGAAAATTTATATTGTAGATTAACCAAACTCTCTTTATACTTACTGTCATACTTAAGCTCTAGAGAGAAATTCAAGAAAGTCCTTGCTCTCTTAAAAAGTTGGTTCTTTAAGGGTTCTTTAGTAAAGACATGGAAAAGGTACCTATATTCACATGCTATACTTACATGTAGAGGAAATTTATATTGTAGATTAACCAAACTCTCTTTATACTTACTGTCATACTTAAGCTCTAGAGAGAAATTCAAGAAAGTCCTTGCTCTCTTAAAAAGTTGGTTCTTCAAGGGTTCTTTAGTAAAGAACACTCAAACAACCATTTTCATGTCTAAAGGGTTCTTTGCATCATTAAATTGTTCTTCAGATTGATGGAGAATGTGTTATATATGGTTCTAGGTAGAACCTTTTTGAAAAGGGTTTTTCTATTGTTACTAGTTTCACATTATAACAATAATACTTGACATAATACTTGAAAATTTTATTTTTGACACAAGTCACACCTTCACTACACACTGTAAAAAGTGGGACTGGGGTTGATTAATATTTACTAGATAACTAATAGTAACCTCTACATAATAAAAAAGACTATGTTCAGTTAGAAATCAAACTGAACTGAATCCAATAAATGTGATTGTTTTATTAATTGCATTTTAAGCAGTTTTGGTTGAATAAAATTAGCTGTGATACATTGAGTAGAATTTACTTATATTTTTTCAGGAACAACAACGATGCAGAAATTCGACAGATTTTACTCATTGGGAAGTCATTGATTTTAATCACCTCACACTTCTGCCTAACGCATTTTGTGCCTCATGGACACCCGTGACTACACGTTTCAGGGGTTGCAGTCCTCCAACTTCCCAAAGGTAAGACCTTTTTAATTATTGCCAGGAAACAAACAATTTCCAAGTATGTTGCTGTAGCAGTTCCCCATTCCTTTAAGTTAATGCAGCTTACCAAACGTCAAATTTCCTGTGCTGTAAGTCAAGATAGCAAATGCATTTTAGTTTTGATTAGCATAGAAGCCAAGCCTGGACTTAAATTACAGATTTTGCTGTTGGGGTACGGAGAGAGGCGAAGCTCTCTAGATCAGCTGCTGTGTCGGCAAAAGACATACTGGAAGAATCCAGCCGTATTGAGGAGAGCAGATTACACCCGTATTGAGCTCCGAGCCGTCACCAACGTTTCACCGCGGAGGCGACAACTGCGCGCCTAGAGACGCTTCTGCGAACTTCGAAAGGATTCAAAATGCGTTTGGTGAATAAATTATTGGTTTATTTGACGTAGCAGCAGGTTTTCAATTGAATATTTATTCAAACCTAATTCTGTAATTTGTGAATGCTGAACTCTTTATATGTCAAAACGAAAATAAGCATCACTTGCTAACAGTTAAGTTAGCTAGCTAGCTAACTAGCTCGCTAGCGAGTCACCTCTTTTAGATGACTGTTTGCTCTCACAAAATATGGGAAAGGCACCTTTTTAGCTAAATTACAATTTTAAAGTGAGACGGTGTCGAATGTATGGTATAATAGACTAGTGTGTACACTTGTTAGAGTTGCTAGCTAGCTAAATAACCTAATCTCGCTAGGTTAGCTAATGTTACGTATGCGCGATCTTAGGCTAAGTTAATAGCTCTTCTGGACGACCAGTTCACTCCGGCTAACCTGTGCTGACCATGATGGGCTCAGATCTGAACGGGAGACGTCGAGAGACTGACTGGTGTTTGAATGACAGAAAAGCAGAAACTAGCTAGCTTACCTAACCTAGCTGACTACGGTCTGTGATGTGTGGGGCTGTTAGCTTGGTGGCCAGCAGGCTAACGGGCTCACACACCACGGAGCACGTTCGATGCTTTTCTCACAGGAGTTTAGAGAATAAAAACAGAAAGCTAAGGGGGAGATGTCGAGTGACTGGTACAGGTAAAGCATTAGTTTAATAAGGTCAACTGAGCTTCTATTTGGCAACTAGCTGCCAAGTGATTTTACATGCTAACAATCTTGTATCACACTAAAGTTTGTGAAATCTGTTCTTTCTTCTCCTTGTGTGCCTATTTTCAGGCTTAACCATATCTTTTCTTCTTGCAGTTACCTACACGTTTCCTACATCTACCATCAGCATTTCTCAGGTATGGAAGCAGCTTTTATTTACCTCTCTTTCTCTGGCATGTTGCTGGTTTCTTTACACTGATTTTTGTACATTTGTAGTCGTCTAAGATGAATATGTCTGTCTTTAATTGAAGTCAGTGTTTTAAACGTAATAGTTATTAGTATGTTTGTGCTTCTCATGACTGACTGTAATAACTTTTGGGATAGAACAATTTTGTGACGTTTTTAAATGTTTTCTCGGGGAGGGTACATATTGACTCAAGTACAGATGTTGACTGAATACCTTTTCACAAGTAATATTTAACCAAGCCACAAAAATATCTCTATAAAAGCAGCATGTTTGCCAAATTAGCCAACATAAATGTGCCTGTATCTGTTTCAGTTGTTGAAGCTAGTCTTTTAAACCTTTACCGAATGTTTTTATCTTTTACAGCCATCCACTGCTGCTTCTGGTTCTCAACTGATCAGGAATTGCCCCAGGTACTTTAATTTACAGTATCTTTATGGTATTGCTCTTTGTAATATTATTACATATTACGCTAAATATTTTATTACGTCTTTTAGCACAAGACATTGTTGACATTATGTATTTTAACATGTATTTGACTCACCAGCTTTGCTTTTTTCTTTACTTTTCAAAACTGTTGTATGAAAACAATAGAACTTTAAAGTTTGTGTGCTATTGTAAAAGATAGTACCATGTTGTTCACAGTAACCTGCTCTTTCTTGTATTGCTTTGCATATACCTTTTGCTTTTCTTGTTACTTTGTAGATTTATTTTTCATATTGTTAATTGTTTGTTCAGGATTCTTTATCCTTATGTTTTGTATGGTGAGTACTTATTACTAATTTTGCTCACTTATTTCTTCATTTTACGTGCATTCATGAGGAATCCATCTTCACAAACTGCAAGTGACAAACAAATTGAATAGAGACCTTCACATTTGTCAAGAGCTGAGTATTTTTAACAGGTAGGATTCAGATGTTCATTCTCTCTACCAAACATACCCTACATATATGCTTACTGGCTATTTTTACAGTACTTCTGACTTACAGACTATAGTCCATCTGTTTCTCTGTATACAGTGCCCCTCTCTTTCCCTTTTTACAGGGCCACCACAGAGCAGTCATTATTCATGAAACATTCTCAGCAATGCATTGACACTGATGTGGTGGTGGTGGTGTTAGTGCGTGTTGTGCTGGTATGAGTGGATCAGACACAGCAGTGCTGCTGGAGTTTTTAAACACTGTTTGCACTCACTGTCCACTCTATTAGACGCTCCTACCTTGTCAGTCCACCTTGTAGATGTAAAGTCAGAGACGACAGCTCATCTGCTGCTGCACAGTTTGTGTTGGTCATCCTCTAGTCCTTCATCAGTGGACTGTTCTCACTCCAGCAGTGACACTGAGGTGATTAAAACATTGCTGTATCCGATAAACTAGTACCACACTTACTATGTCAGTGCCACTGCAGTGCTGAGAATTAACCAATAATACCTGCTTTGTGGTGGTCTGGGCAGGTCCTGATCATTGATGAATGATGTGAAAGGGGGCTAAAAACGTATGCAGAGAAAAAGATCAGCTACAATTTGCAATTGCAGAACTACAGAGTGCACATATATATTAAATAGACCTGATTCAATAGAAAAGTGAGTAAATACAAGGCAAAGCATTACCTAATAAAGTGGCCAGTAAGTGTATACATATAATCAAGCACAGTGATGTAATTTAATTTGTATTTCTTGTTAACAACATTGTAGCTGTTACCTGCTATTCCACTCAATATGTCTGAATTGTGTGTTAGTTGTTTATGTTTTGCTTAGGCAGTTAATGCAATTGTTTTTAAAAGAATTTCTGGTGTAATCAGTTCATTTATGCTTACCTGTGAACATGTGAGCTTTAAGAATTGTTAAGTTTTCAAGACATGATGCAGTATGTAGTGTCTTAATATATGATAATGCATATATTATTTTCGTAGAACAGTGGCAGATTATTAATTGATCAGCTGTGTTCACCTGTGTTGTACTTTTGTTCCTCTTTGCTTGAGACTAGCTGTACTTAGTGCAACAAATACTCTTATGTTAGCTCAACTAAATATTTTAGTGCTGACAGACATCAGTCAGTAAAACCAGTCATTTACGGAAGTTGACCAAACAAGATAAAGATAGGGGAAATTGGTATGAATGCTGAATACTGGTTTCTCATATATTTACTACATTGGAGCTCAGTTTAACAGCAGAAGGCCTTGCGTTTATCTTTGTGTATGCATCATTTTCAAGCAAAGCATCGATCTAACTTTTACTTTGTTTTTGTTTCCTGGCTACAGAGAGGGTCGTGCAGGTCCCTGCTGAACACCTGATGGACAATATATGAGTTCTCATGCAGAACTGGTGGCAGTACACACTTTAAGTTCCAGTAATCATCCAACATCATGTCCGTGTGAGACTCTGTTCTATGTTGAGCACCTTCTTCGGTCAAGTCTGGACTCAGTGACTCATTATTCTTGATCAGCCAGGGCAAGTGGCTAATTCTTTTCATGATCTTTATTCATTCCATTCATTATCCGTTATATATATGGACACGTGCTGTTTTTTTCATCATCTCAACATAGCTTTGTGAGTGTCCTGGACATTTCATTGAATCATGCAAGAAAAGTTTCTTGAAGTTTATCAATATAGTCTGTACCTTGGATTGTAATGGGTGTTATTTGTTGTTTCCTTTGTAATTTACCATAAGCAGTTGTTGACTATTAAATCTATGCTAATTAATTGTAATTTCTTATGGGTTGTACTGTATTTTTTGCAATGAAATTCTGGCAACCACAGCTGCTGGTAATTTACTGTAAAGTTGAACTTCACAATAAAATACTGTAATGTGTCATACGGTTGTACTATGTTTATCACTGATAGACTGTAATTATGTTGATAGTATATGTTATTTTAATTCACTGTATACATATTTACAATATGCTTTTTTCACAGTAATTAACCGTAAACAAACAGTTCTCAACAGAGAAATTTACGGTTGGCAAAAAAGCATACTGTAATGTCTTATACTTTTCCACTATATATGTTTACTGTGAAGATCTGGCAACCACAGCTGGAGTAAAGTGTAGTAAATATAAACCAGTTTTTGTCAGATATTTAGTAAATGTAAATACATTTTCCTCAGATATTGAGTAAATATAAAGCAATTTTGCTCAGACACTTGGTAGATATTACTAAATTTTCCTTGTTAAATTAATTTGTATTTACTCAATATTTGTGGGCTACATTGACTTATAATGTGGCATACTATTACTAAATACAACACATTTTAACGTTTGCTTTTATTAACATTTACTTAATTTTTTTGGTTAAGTTTAGTTCTTAGATTGATCTTAGAGTATGAGATCTAGTGTACAACTGAACCTAACACAGCAATGTAAATTACACAAAGTCTGTGCAGGTCACTAGGCCACACTGTGTACAATGCCAGTCTTTTATTTCTATTAGTCTACTTATCACATATATTGCATCAACTAAATCCAAGTAGCCTCTCACTCAAAGGTGTATCCATGGCAGTTTTTTAAATAAAACTGAACAACACTGAGTATATGGAATGACTCGAGCAAGGGGTTTACAGTGGAGTGCTGCTTTGTAAGTGAGGCAACCTACTGCACCAGTATCTGTTCACGCTTTTCCCCGAAGACCTACTTCACCCGCAGAACTATGATTTAACAGAAGCCACAAGCGCTTGGCTGCACTGAATGGGCTTTCTGTGTTCTAATGCACTGCTGAGACAAGACAAGTGACTGGTATGGTTTCCTTTTTGATTCAGTAATAGGGACAGCCTAAATACAGGTCATTTTTAGCTTTTCTGAACAGTACATTCTGAAAAAACTAATTACAACTGCAACAATTAATGCTTTCTCTAGCTGACTATGCTAGCTTAATGGGTGTTTAATTAAACAACATAGCATAAATTGAAAACGTCTTGAAGTCCAGAACACATGTATATGGGCCTTGGTATTGAATATTTAAATATTTAAAGAAACACTTCAATCACAGTAATCTTGCTTTAAACCTCAGTAAAACCACGTCTTTAGCAGGTTTAAGATCAACCTCAGTGCAACTTGAGATACAGCACCATTTAAAAAAAAAACAAAAAAAACTTGCTATTGGGTTTAGTTTAAACTGCAGGTGCACTTTAAGTGCACGTTCAGAGGACACAGCAATGGAGTTTAACAACCTACGTTGACCCATTCAGGTTAAAACTCAGGTTAACCTCTAAACCACACCTAAGCTAATGACAGTGCAATTGCCCCTAAGAATTGAGAGAGAGAGAGAGAGAGAGAGAGAGAGAGAGGGAGAGAGGGAGGTGGGGGCTAAGAACCGCAGATGCTGTCTTCCTTGCCTCAACACAGATTTGGTCGAAGCAGTTATAGCTTTACGCAAATTATATGCAGAGATCTGATGTCTGAGTCCCGAACTGAGCTAACCAGAGGCATCAGTAGCAAGGAAAAACTCTCTAGATCAGGGGTGCACAACTCTCGTCCTGGAGAGCCGGTGTCCAGCACAGTTTGGAGGTTTCCCTGCTCAAACACTTCCACTTAACCTGGCAATTAACAGATAAGTATAATCAGGTGTGTTGGAGCAGGTAAATCAACAAACCGTGCTGGACATCGGCCCTCCAGGACCGAAGTTGTGCACCCCTGCTCTAGATGGTATAATGGAGAAACTTCGAAAGGACACAGGCTTAGACATATGACGCCATCCTTACTGGGGCAACATCAGAAAAGAATAGAATAGGCTTAAATGGCATACAATTAAAAATAATTTGATTATTGATGATTAATAATTATTAAGATATTAACATGAATTTGCATTAAAGATAAAGAATTTGTGAGTGTGTGTGAGGGGGAATTTCCAATCAATCAAATCAATCACATCAATCAAAGAAAATATAAATTAATTTAGAATAATAATAATAATAATAATAATTCAAAATTACAGTTCTTCAAAACATACAGAAAACATTTCCTTAAGATTTAAATGAAAGACAAAGTGACATTTTCATTGCGACTAGTTAACATGAAGGTATCAAAGAAGCATAGAGAGCTTCAAGGAGCCAAACACATTGTTAAATATTTGCCAAAACATCCATTATTACATCAGAAACACTATACTAGCTAAGATATACTACTGAAAACTCATGAAACTATGAACTCATTCTGGGAACTGGGTTGAAGAGATTATGAAGTGCCACACCTTCCCATTAGGTGTCTGGACTGTAGGCTTGACTTCAGCACAAAAAATGTATTTCATTGTACTTCATGTATTTCAGGCTAATGCTTAAGAAACAGTGGGAAACAGTAACAGGGTGATTTTTTTTAAATTTGGGCTATCAGCATTGTTTCCTGAAGACCTTCATTCCTGGGATGTGTTATGGTTACACTCATTACTGCCTATTTCCACTTTTGCTCTTGGTGCATTTGTGTGTCTTCCCAGTATTTGAATGCCTAAAACTCTTCCCACATTCTGAGCACTGATATGGCTTCTCTCCTGTGTGAATGCGCTGGTGTTTCTGGAAAGTACTCTGCAGAGTAAAATTCTTCCCACACTCTGAGCAATAATACGGCTTCTCTCCTGTGTGAATGCGCTGGTGTGTTTTGAGATCACTCTGATGATTAAAACTCTTCCCACACTCTGAGCAGTGATAGGGCTTCTCTCCTGTGTGAATGAACTGGTGTCTTTTGAGAGTACTCTGTTGATTAAAACTTTTCCCACAATCTGAGCAGTAATACGGCTTCTCTCCTGTGTGAATTCGCTGGTGCATTTTGAGATTATTCTGTAGAGCAAAACTCTTCCCACACTCTGAGCAGTGATACGGCTTCTCTCCTGTGTGAATGCGCTGGTGTTCTTGGAGATGACTCTGTCGATTAAAATTCTTTCCACACTCTGAGCAATAATACGGCTTCTCACCTGTGTGAATGCGCTGGTGTTGCTGGAGAGTACTTTGACGATTAAAACTGTTCCCACACTCTAAACAGTGATACGGCTTCTCTCCTGTATGAATGCGCTGGTGTTCTTGGAGGTGACCGTGATGATTAAAACTCTTCCCACACTCTAAGCAGTGATACAGCTTCTCTCCTGTGTGAATGCGCTGGTGTTGTTGGAGGGAACGCTGACGATTAAAACTCTTCCCACACTCTGAGCAGTGATATGGTTTCTCTCCTGTGTGAATGTGCAGGTGCTCTTGGAGATGACCCTGACGATTAAATCTTTTTCCACATTCTGAGCAGTGATACGGCTTCTCTCCTGTGTAAATACGCTGGTGTCCTTGGAAATGACTATTATAATTAAAACTCTCTTCACTCTCTAAGCAGTTGTGAGTTCTCCTCTTGCTGTGTTTCAGTGTTGGTTTGTGAGGTGTGTCCGTGTGAAGGGTACTAGATGACATTTGCTGAGTACAGCTTCTTCTGGAAGCCATATTCTTACATTTGACCAGTTTCAGCAGCTTAAGATTACTTTTAACTGGAATGTCCTTAAGTGTTTTCAGAAGTATATTTGAGCTCTGTAGGATAGTGGACTCTAAGAGCTGGAGAAGACTTGAAACAGGACGAAATTCATTTCTGTAAGACAAAAAGAAAAAAGAAAATATAAACTCAATGTGAACTGTAACAAAAGTAGTCTGATCTAAATCATGCATGCTCAACTTACATCAACTGGAAGAAAGTGTAAAGGAAAGCATAAACTATCATCTCATGTGTAAATGTCAAATCACCTGATTACCAAAACTCTTCAAACAGACATATAGACCACTTAAATCATGTAGTTGGTCCATGCCCATATTAGAAACTCCAGGTCTAAGCTGGATTTCTCTATGGCAAAAATATATGTGATTTTCCAAGTATGTGCCTTGCAGATGCTCTTGTTTACAAGGTTGTAAAGGAGCCGAAATATTCATTTCGCTACATGTGATTTTTTTGGTAGGGTTTAGAGCTTATTACAAGTCAGGCATTGACAATTTCAGAACTTAAAAATCCATCAAATCTCTTACGGTGCTTACACTTCACAGCCACGGTTTCAACTAAATAGCTGCCTGAGAATATGAAACTAAAGACAACTGATTCTTACAATGCAAGAGATTGATATAAATGATATCGGAGTACTTCCTGCTTATAAATTTTGACTTTCTGCAATGGCTTTAAGAAATGAAAGTTAAGGACAACTATTGAAATCAAGGCAAGATCTGGAAGACCAAGAAATCTCTCTGAAAAAACTGCTCATTTTTTCAACTGCTCAGACTGGCAATATATGCAAAGTAAAACCCCATATCAGGGAAAGCAGAGTGCTGGATCTTCTGTATGCAAGATGCTTACTGTTCTTCTGCCCTTCCTCCACTAGGAAGATCGAACCACAACCTGGATCTACTATCTCCCACATACTGGCCTGTGGTCTTAAAACAATCACTGACAAAGAAGGCAGTCAGGAGGTGGTCACCAGAGACAGAGGAGACTCTGCAAGTCTGCTTTGAGACCACACACTGGAACCTGACAGTCTGATCATGTGGTCAGTAGCACTACAACACTCTGTAAACATTTGGGAACTGAGCAGAGTGGTCCTTAGCCCGGAGGACACAGCGTCCATGATTTTCCAAAAAAAAAAAATTCAAATGTTGATTCGTTGGACCACAGGACACTTTTCCACTTCTCCTCAATCCATTTTAAATGAGTTCAGACCCAGAATAGACGGGAGCATTTATGTATCCTGTTTATATATGGTTTGTTTTTTGTGTTTAAGAGTTTTAACTTGCATTTGTGGATGCAGCGATTAACTGTTTTCACAGACAGTGGTTTTCAGACGTGTTTGAGTCCATGCAGTGATTTCCACTACAGAATCATGTCTGTTTTTAATTCAGTGCTGCCTGAGGGCCCAAAGATCATGGCCAGCATATACTGGTTTTTGGTCTTGTCCCTTGCATACAGAGATTTCTCCAGATTCCCTGAATCTTTAATGTTATTATGTACTGTAGAAGATGAAATCCTCAAATTCTTTGCTTTTTTTACATTAAGAAAGGTTATTCTTGAATTGTTGCACTATTTGCCTGTGCAGTCTTACAGAGTTACAGAGTGGTGAACTCTGTTTAAATCATTTGCACAGCATTGCATTTTGTTTTTATTTACATTTTGAACAGCGTCCCAACTTTTTTGGAATTAGGGTTGTATGTCACGATACTTTCATTTACAGTGCAGTCACTCAGTTTGTGTTTTTCTGTTTGGATGTTTTTAGATTATCCACTGGATGTGACAATACACCACTGCATTGTCACAAGCATAATATTTATGTGACATTTACTTATTACACATTATACTTTGATTGTTTTACTATATTCTTATTACATATCTTCTATTTATGCATCTGTACAATAATGTACGGCAACACCGCTCTTTTCTGTACTTTGTGCTGCTGTAATATACCACTTTCCCTCTGGGATTAACAAAGTGATCTATCTATCTATCTATCTATCTATCTATCTATAAATGGTAATCTTGCATTTACATTTGTAGAAATGTTTAAATATATAAGTTTATTCCATACAGATTATGTATTAACTTTTCATTTAGAAAAATCAACAAAATACGTAATTTGACCAGGGTGCCTAAACATTTGTGTGCATTTTGGCTACGCTTGTGCATAAAACAAGCCATGTTCACACACTGCAATGCTTAAATCCCATAACAGTTCTCTCTACATTCATCTTCCAAACACTGACAGCATCAGAGCTAAAGCAGGGCTTGATAATACGTCTTGTAACAGAGTGGTGAGATTTAGTACATTGGTTCTCAAACTTTGGGTCAGTGTGGGGAAGCATGGGTCGTGAGGAAGCATCATAAACGCGTTTTTTTTTCTTCACGAGTCGATCTAAATGAAGTGTGTTTTAGATTTGTAGTGGTGACTAGGCTTTTTCTGTACTGCACATCACCGCCAACGCTCTCAAGGCAGTCCTGTATTATCAGTGTCGCCTTTCACCTGCCACACACATGATCACACACAAGTGCAGTTATCGAGTGTTGTGGAATATATTTAAATAGGACATGTAATAACCAACTAAACATTACTGACATTTACTCTTTTCCTCTGCCAAAGCGCAACATCTGCAATTTCACAATTCTAAATTCAATCCTGGTATGTTGTAGCGCAATCTAAAATGAAATCATCCTCTAATGTGCATGGTATTTAATCATATTTTAATACAGCGAATGTCAAGTATTCATTTTTAAGGGCAGTTGTTTAAAGAAACAGGTTGAAAGGGAGTCCTTTGGCAGCTTGTCTACATGTAATTTCCCAGGACATCATTTCCCTTCTTATGGGTCATCATTTCACCCAGTAACAGGTGCTGAAGTGCTTCTTTAGGAAACCAAGGAAAATCTGATGTGTCCACACAGTGCCATGTATTTACAGAATTACTGTGTATCAGCATTGACAGATATGTACTTGAAGAATATAAGATATCTGCGTCATATCAATGCATCCCTACATTTAAACCTGTTAAAACTTGAATTCTGATTGATTAATAAAAATGGAATTTCAAATGTGTCATATTTAGCTAGTGCATTTTAATTTGTATTTTGGTTTATTTGTTAATGTTTTAGAATTGAAAGATATTTGAGCCAGTGATAGAAGATGTTGGGCCTAGTATCAATCATACAGCCACCCCTACGCACTCATCAGTTTAACTGCTCCACAAGCTCATTCTAATTGCACTACTGTTTATAATTGCACTATTTCTTTATTCCCACAGATCTTAATCTGTATGTGCCTTACGTTACTTTAGTGTCAGGACCTTCTTATATTTATATTATTATTGTTATTATTATTTTATTTATTTTTTATTATTCTATTTTTCTACAATTAGTGTTTATTTTTACTATAAGTGTTTAGTGTTTTTTTAGTATCTATTTAAATTCACACATTTCCTGTTTACTGTCTATTTAATGTTATCGCTACACCATGGGGTCTGAGAGTAAGGCAATTTCAATACTCTGTATGTCCTGTACATATTGTAGTATTGACAATAAAGCTGACTTGACTTGACTTGACTTGACTAAACTATATCTAAAAAATAAAATCATATAATCTTCTGTTAAAGGCATCTTCAGTTAGGGGCTTCAATGCAACCAGGACCAAATATTTTGTATAAAGTTTCAGTTTTTTTTCCAATGACTTACATATCAAAAGTTATCAAAAGCTGAAACAGAACTACTACACTCAATGTCAGTGGTATCAAAACTTACTAGTCCAATTTAGGTATTAAATAAACTCAGTTAGCAAGCTAGCTCAATCATTCTGACTATGGTACACAGAAAGACTGTGGCTCCACTCCAACAACAAAAAAAAGGTCAAACAAGCAAAACTATAGTAGTGAAAGAAGAACAACACTCATTATTTGACTAGAAACGCCTATAAAAAGTATCAGGTACATTCCATGGTTGAATTAAACTATTGTAATGGGAACACATGTGGTAGCCATGTCTTTTTTGTATTACTTTAATAGACAACAAAATTGCTATATCAATCCATAACTACCCACTAACGCACATTCTTCAAACTCACAGCAAAAAACAGTCATAGCAACCAGGTACAGAGAAGTTGCCACTGTAGTAGATGGAGTGTAATGTTGCAGAGTCTAGTAATGCATTTAGATTTTCAGAGTTAATTCTGAAACTCACCCTATGAATGAAAAACTAATTTACCTACTTCAGCTATCTCTGCTGAGTCAAGAAAGCTCTGTTTCCAGCAGGTAAAGCAGTGTTAGCTCAGTTATGCCAAACAGCTGAACACAACTAGTGTTTTCTCTTTCTGCTGTATGTCCACAGAAATAGCCATTTGATGCTGTTCAAAAGTCCAAACTTTAAATCCTTCAAGAAACTTTCAGTTACTGTACAAGTGTGAACTTCTATTGTCAGTTACTGTGTATCTGAAGACATTAATCTGTTTCCTGACGTATATATTTGGAATAACTATAGAGGCATCAAACCTGGCCTTAAAATTCAAAATACTTGTACTGATCCAACACTACCACAAACGCACACACACATGCTTTATGCACTTACCCATTAGCAAAGCATTATCCATTCTCAGCTGAAAATCAGTCCCGAATCTAAAAATCTGTGTCTCTGGAAGAAATAATACATCATAAAATTACCATATAGTCTATATAAGTCCATGTCTATTTCGTTTTTAATACATTTTAGCTAACACAAGTACTAACATGGAATGACACACTGTACTGTAAAACTATATCACCAATATACCTCTACCTCCACATTTGAGTGCATTCAATCAGATTTAAGTGAGTGGAGAGAGGCAGAGATTATAGCATTTACACACCCACATGCAAATGACTGGATTTTACATACCTAGTAAACAATTAGAAAAAAATACAAATGTGAAATCCAATGACAGGGCAAAATGGTCATGGTCAGTTTGAATAGTCAATACAAATAAATCACAGTCAGGAGATTATGTAATAATTGTGAGAGATCAACCTTAGACAAAAATACTCACACCATCAAAATGACATTCATATACATTACATTCTCAAATCTAAAATCTACTACATCAAAAATGAACTATGTTAGCCACAGCAAGAGCCCTATTGACTACTTTATACCCCAAACAACAAGACTGTCACCAATGAATCTGGATTCAAACAAGATACTGTTTACTGTTTAGACCACAAATGTCTGCAGGAAGAATTGCTCCATTGTGAATATGACTACCAGCCCCATCACGCTCTGTTCACACACATGCTGTCTGAAGAGAGAATGAAAGACAAGGAGTCTTCAAGAAATTTATACAACTAGACCAGAGCTTCCCAGTCACAATCCCAGAGACCCCACACTATACACAGCTTTATCATCAAACTACTGAACAGCTCTCACACACCACATCCACCTCTAAACACCTACCACAGACACTCTTAATCTACCCCCATTCATTAACAGCTCTCAGAAAGCACTTATTGTTCTAAAACAAACTGGAATTTTTCATTGTAACTATACAATTATATCCACCTTGAATCAGCATATATTTCTACATTAATAACAGCTACATGCCCAATATGGCATGACACAGCGGAAATGGGATATCTGAGACTGAAAATCACCGACAGAAGCTGATAAGAGCTCAGGCCCTCACAGTCCACTAACGTCAAGGTCAAATGGGCTGGCTAACTAGCTATCTAACATTTCATATTTGTACTACAGTGTTTTCTGTTCTCACAGTTATGCTGTGACAACCTATTGTTTTGGTGCCCACAACATGATCACAACATTTAAATGTAACTCCTCAGAAGGGTGTGACGTTATCTGACAACACTGTGACAACTTAGTGGCAACGTTGTCAGTACGTTGTCACAACCTCCTAGAATCCTCAGAATCCTGCATGGAATTTTGCTAGGTTGCTAACAGGTAGTCATAATACCGAATGGCAACGTTACTGAAAAATGAGGTTGTGACAACCTTGTAAAGACAACAAAAACAGCACCACCCTTTGACAACGTTGTAGCAACGTTGTAAAAAAGTAGGCTACGTTGTGACAACGTTGTGTGTTTGCTGGGTGCATTGTGACAATGTTGTGTGTTTGCTGGGTACATTGTGACAATGTTGTGTGTTTGCTGGGTACATTGTGACAATGTTGTGTGTTTGCTGGGAGCACATGTATTGCTTTAAAAAAATGTACAGTTATACTCTAAAGCTGATTTCCATCACGATACAGGGAGTGTTTATACTGCAAGTCTGAACGGCTCCGTCCTCTTTGAGTGTCCTCCGGAAACATTTCCGCTGCGTTGTGACTGACTCTGCAGCGTTTCTGAAGCTGTGTTATCTGTGTTTGCAGGACGTTCATAAAATGCAACACAGATGTTGCCATTTTGATTAAATGTTTTCTGCTTTTGCAGCTCTTTGGGTCTTCTCAGCCAGCCACCGTAGCGACCCCCCAGACATCTTTCTTCATCCTGTTAAGTTACTGTTTTCCCACCATATTTGTACAAATAATTACACCTCATACACCCGCTGTATGTTTGTCTCAGAGTGAATGAAAAACAATGAGTGTTAAAGTGTCGGACAGATTCCTACCTTCAACAGTTCAGCTCTTGTCTCTGCTCCTCCATCAACACTGTATGAGCGCGGAGGCGTGGACTGCTGACCACAACACAACCTTCTGCTTCTCCGCTTTAGTGCAGTTGGGCAAAGTTATAGTTACAGAATTGGCGCCACCACCTGGCCTGAAGCGGCTTCACACTGGAACCACGCGATCACGTAAACAGGCGGAATGGTCGTTATTTTAAACCCCACATATTTTTTTTTACTTTATCTAAATACCACAGAAATGTTAAAAGGGATTTCCAAAACATAACGATGTGAAGAAAATTCCAAAATAAATGACATACAGTTTCTACACCAGCATCACAAAATGAACTAACATCAGTGTTTCTTTTTTTATATATTTACCCTAACGTCTTCATAACCCTAGCGTGAAATAACCCTAAGCTCCTTTTAACTCTAATCATCTTTTCCCTAAGTTCTCCATAACCCTAGTGTGAAAAACCCCAAGCTCCTAGGCAAAAAAGGTTTGCTTTATGAAAATAGTCGTGTGCCACGCTGCTTAGTTATACCTCAGCTGCTGAGATATTCATTCCGTGTTTGAGCAGTGTCCGTAGTAATTTTAAAGTAATCACAACGACCAAATCACATCATTTCATACAATAGTTCAACCATTACAATAATGGTCTTGGCCTGGTCTTTCTTGGATTTAGCAGTACATAACAGTGTGTTTCTTTACATTTAGAGCAGCCTAGAAGAACCCATTTTGACTTGTAATTATGACATATTTCCTTAAATTAATATGAATTGTATTGCAATTAATAAATATCTTTCTTTTTTCATTCCTATTTTCATTTTTGACGTTTCGACTTAAAATAACATGCGATTTAGAAGGGTGTGAAATGCTACTAGTAATAATGCTATTGGTTATATTAATAGTTTTAATAAAACGAGTGTTACTTGCAGTATTTCCCTTGTGTGCTTTCCTTGATTCCACTGTATGTGGTGTTTTCTCTGTAGTGTCTGTTGCGCGTGGCTCCGCCTCCAGTGCCTTGGTTTCAACTAGGTCCAGTAAAGGAGCATAACAGGCGCTTACGGCGCTGCCCTGTTTCATTAATTCTGTTCACGTCGACTGGGAGGAAAAACAAGAATAATGTCTGGCAGAGGTAAGGGAGGCAAGGGCCTTGGTAAAGGAGGTGCAAAGCGTCACCGTAAAGTGCTCCGCGACAACATCCAGGGTATTACCAAGCCGGCTATCCGCCGTCTGGCTCGCCGTGGCGGCGTCAAGCGTATTTCCGGTCTGATCTATGAGGAAACCCGCGGTGTGCTCAAAGTGTTTTTGGAGAACGTGATCAGGGACGCCGTCACTTACACCGAGCACGCTAAGAGGAAGACCGTCACCGCTATGGATGTGGTGTACGCCCTGAAGCGTCAGGGACGCACCCTGTACGGCTTCGGCGGTTAAACGCTCGACTCGAACAACTTTAAACCCAACGGCTCTTTTAAGAGCCACCCACATACCCATCAAAAGAGCTTTTCCCTATGCTCCATTCAATAACTATAAAAATGCCAGACTTTACAGTATGGCTCCATGTTTTTTTTTTTCTTTTAAAGGCAGCATTACGCTAAAACAACTGGGCAGAATATTTGAACTAGCTTGACGGTATCAAGATCAACATCGTTTTATTTCATGCGCTTTTGTGAGCTGATGAGCGTACTGCTTGCTTGCTAGCTTGTATGCGTGTGTGTGGAAAATGAAAAAAAAAACATACATTTGGAATAAACCTGGTCGGGATAAATGTATAAGACACAACCGCAGCTAAGAATGCGCGGGAAGGTTAACAAAGGGAGAGGCTTCAGTTGGAAGGAGGAGGGGGGTTGGGCAAGAGCCAGGATTTGTCCGCCAAGCGAGACGTCGATTGTTGCCCAATGATCGTTTGACAGCATTCAGAAGGGCGGAGCTTATTTACTTTGAATTTCGGAGTCTAAATAAGCCGGGTGCCGAATACCCCCCCTCATTCGTGAGTTGTACGCGAAGAGAAGAACAATGCCTGAGCCAGCGAAGTCCGCTCCGAAGAAGGGATCTAAGAAAGCCGTGGCCAAGACGGCCGGCAAAGGAGGAAAGAAGCGCAGAAAGTCCAGGAGGGAGAGTTATGCTATCTACGTGTACAAAGTGCTGAAGCAGGTGCACCCCGATACCGGCATTTCCTCCAAGGCGATGGGCATCATGAACTCGTTCGTCAACGACATCTTTGAGCGCATCGCTGGTGAGTCATCCCGTTTGGCTCATTACAACAAACGCTCCACCATCACTTCCAGGGAGATTCAAACGGCTGTGCGTCTTCTTCTTCCCGGTGAGCTGGCCAAGCACGCCGTGTCTGAGGGCACCAAGGCCGTCACCAAGTACACCAGTTCTAAGTAAAAGGTGACGAAGACTTCAACAAACCCAACGGCTCTTTTAAGAGCCACCCACGTTGTTCGCATGAAGAGCCCTTTTTTCGTTTCATGGTTGTGATATTTTTTTTTCGGAGCTGGGGAGAAAGTGTTACGTAAGGTTCTGGTATGTTCGAGTCTGTTTTCCCGCCCATTGCCTTAGTCTGTCTGTAGTTACTCTATTGCGTGAGTAATGGTACAGTATGTGCTAAAATAAGGTACGTAAAGCGCGTTTACACACTCGAACGCGCAGATACATGTATTTCGGTGTATGTGTGTGTATATGTATGTCTGTGTATATATATGCACGCACAAAACATTGAGTTCCTGCAGGGGCCATTAATGAATTAAATGAACTGATTTTATGATAAGCAATATGTATTTGTACAAACTGGACAGGAAAACTTGTGAGCACATTTTTGTTTGGATCTTCAGTAGGCTACAATAGAATAGAATGCACAGGGTCAGGCACAAGTGCCTGTATGATGAGCTAGGACAGAATGATGTTTAGGCCTAATATGATTACCAGACAGAGGAGCAATAACAAAATTATCCATGACAAAAAACTATGAACACTCAAAAAATAGCCATAACAATGTTTTTTTTGTGTGTTTCTTTTTTCAGAGCTTTCATTGGATGGGCAAATGATTCCTGTGGGTGGGCAAGGCTGACCCCAGCCCACCCGTAGACATGCCCCAGAGCGCAATACAGAAAATATGGATAGGCCTCTTTCCGTTATTATGCTCCTAAATTGTGAAACTGCGAATCTGCCTTTTGTCAGACAGTGAAGCTCAGTGCACACTTTCTCTTTAATTGTTGCTTAAAGATTTGAGATTTTGATTTTTTTCCTTTCTTCCTTTACATGCACATATATTTATGAAGAAAACTCTTTGTGTGCACATATATGTATGTTTGTATTAATGATAAGAGCTGTTTACTTACAGATTCTTTTAATATATAAGCAAGTAAAAGTAGGCACAGGGCAAAGCCTTATGCACATGATTCAGTCTAACTACATCATGAGAATAAGGCCTAACAGTAATTCTACTTGTACTTATTCTAACTCCACTGTAAGCCTATATGCGAAGTACTGAGGTTAAAGTTAATAGCATGAATAACAGGTTAATAGCTAGTAGGCCTTTAGCTTCTAGGCTAGCAAAAGTGAATGAAAAGAGGAACATTGTAAGGCATCAAGCTTATGATGAAAGTATGATGAGAAAGTAGAAGCAGCTACAGAGCTAAGCCCTAAGCTTATGATGAAGTTAGAGTAAGCAAAACTATGTTTAAAGACATGTTCTGAAGTTAGAGAACGTAAAAGTGAGTTTACAGCTAGGTCTCTGGCATATGATGAAGTTAGAGTTTGTAGTAGTTCAGGGCTAGGCTTTAAGCTTGTGATGAAGTTAGAGCAAGTGAATGTAATTTTAGAGCTAGGCCATGCCATACGATGAAATGAGGATGAGGGAAAGGAGGTACATGAGGTTAGAGAAATAAAAGTAGATAACGACCTATGCTTTAAGGTCATGATGTACTTGGAAGTGGCTCGTAATGAAAACAGGTTAAGTAACACTAGGTTAAGAGATAGGCCTTAGGTTTATGATGAAGCATGTAAAATTAGGTACAGAAAAAGCCAGCTTGACAATCAAGTTTACATAAGAGGCTTACGGCTATGCCTCAGGCTTTTAATGTAGTAAGCAACAGTAGGTTTAGATTAAGGGCTGTGGCTCATGCTGAAGTTAGAGTGAGTGAAAGCTTTTAGGTTTATGAAGAAATTATGACAACTTGGTAAAAATAGGTACAGACGTGGGCCTTAAGCTGTGGTTAGAGTAATTGTAGGCAGGTTACTGTCCAGGCTGTAAGCTTATAGTGCAGTTAAAGTAGGTAAAATAATGTTAGCTGTTAGGCCTTAGACTCCTGATGTAGTTAGCATGTATGAACGAGCCATCAGGCTTAGGAAGAAGTTGTGGCGATAAAGTGAAATTAGGTACGGAGCATGCCATTAGGCTTATGATGAAGCTAGAGAAAGCAAAAGGATACATAAAGCTATGCCTCAGGCTTATATTGTAGAGTAAGTAACAGTAGGTATAAAGTTAGGCCTTAGCATACTGAAGAATGTAGAGTAAGCAAAATTAACTTTCCAGCTAGGCCTCAGATTTATCTTATGCTGATGAAGAAGTTAGGGTGAATTGTAAACCACTAAGGCCTGGCTTTCTAACTACTGTTACTTAGGCTATCTTGCTGCTAGGCCTCAGGCTTATGCAGTAGTGAGAGTAAGTAGCAGTAGCTATAGAGCTAGGCCTTAGAGGTTTAAATTGGAGTTAGAGAATGTCAAAGTGATGGAGTTAGAGTGAATAAAAAGAGATCTATAGTGAGCCATTAGACCTATGATGAAGTTAAAGAAATGAAAGCTGGTACAGAGATAGGCTTTCAGATGATGATGTGGTTTGAGTAAGCCAAAATTAGCCTTTCAGCTGGGCCTCTGGCTCATCGTATAGAAAGAGTGAGTAATACTAGGTTTAGGCCTTGGGTTTATGACAAAGTCAGAGAATGTCAAATTAGGTTTTAGGGCAAGGCCTTATAATGAAGTGGTTTATAGTGGTTTATAGTGAAGTTGGAGAATTCAAAGTAGTTTAATGACAAGGCCTTAGGCTTATGATGAAAGCAAGTAAATCATAAGGCATCCAGCTAGGCCTCAGGCTTAAATCGTAGTTAGTGTGTATGTATAAGTAGATTTAGAGGTAGGCCCCAGGCTTACGGTGAAGTTAGATAAAGCAAAAGCTTTAAGCTTTGGAAGTATGTAGAGTGAGCATACGTAGCATTACATATAGGCCCAAGGCTTATGCTGAGGTAAAAATATGTGAAAGCAGAGGTTAATATGTTGGGTTCTAGTTAGGCATGAGGTTCCTAATGTAATCAGCATGAATAAAATGTTTGTACAGAGCAAGCCATTTAGTTTACAGTGAACTCAGAGTCAGGCCTTAGGTTTATGATGAAGTTAGAGTAAAGCACAAACTTAAAGCACAGATCTATAGCTTGTTTTCTTTACTCTATGTGTATTATACATCTTAGGCTTATGATGAAACTAGAGTAAGCAAAAATATCCCTTCAGCTGGGCCTCAGGCTTATAATGTAGACAGCGTAAGCGTAGGGCAAGGCCTTAGGCCTCTGAAGAAGTTACAGCAAGCAAAATGACCTTTCCAGTGATAGACAGAGTAAGTGATGGTAGGTTGAGAGCTAGGCCCTAGGCTTGTGGTGAAGGTACAGTTACATAGCTACAATTAAACAATGTTAAGGTAATCTTACAGCAGAGCTTATGGTGGAGTTAGTGAACTGAGATGTATAGCGAGCAACTAGATGTATGATGAAGTTGAAAAAATGAAAGCTGGTAAACAGCTAGGCTGTCAGCTGATGATTTAGTCTGAGAAAACCAAAATGTAGCCTTACAGTTGACCTCTGGCTAATAATGCATTTAGAGTAAGCAATATGACGTTTAGAGCTAAGCCGTGGGTTTATGGTGAAGTTGAAGAATGTCAAGGTAGGTTTAGGGCAAGGCCTTAGGCTTACGATGAAGTAAGAGTAAGCAAAAGGAGGCATCTAGCTAGGCCTTGTTCTTTTATTGTAGTGATGTAAGTAACAGTGGTTTCAGTGCAAGGCCTTTGGTTTATGAGAAAGTTAGAGTTAAGCACAAACCTAAGGTCTGGCTCTATAGGGCCTGTTACTAACTCAATTGTATTTTAAGTCTTACGCTTATGATGAAGCTAGTGTAAGCAAAAGTAGCCTTTGTGATGGTGTTAGAGTAAGTGAACTGAAATCAATAGCACTCCATTAGACTTAGGATGAAGTTGGAGAATTAAAATCAGATACAGAACCAGGCTTTAAACTCATGCTGTAGATAGATCAGGTCAAATTAGCCTTACAACTGGCCTCAGGTTTATCATGTAGTTGGAGTAATTGATAGTAGATTTAGACCTAGACCTTTGGTTTATAGTGAAGTTGTAGAATTCAAAGTAGTTTAATGACAAGGCCTTAGGCTTATGATGAAGTCAAACTAAGCACAAGGAGGCTTCCAGCTAGGCCTTGAGCCTTTTGTGTAATGAAATCAGTAACAGTGATTTCAGAGCAAGGCTTTAGGTTTGTGAGGAAGATAGAGTAGAAACCCAAGGCCTAGCTTTATAGCTTCTGTTCCTTACTTTAAGCAAAAGGAGGCATCTAGCTAGGCCTCAGGCTTACAATGTAGATAGAGTGAGTGATGGTAGGTTAAGAGCTCTACGATTGTGGTGAAGTCAGAGTGAGTAGCAATAACTATAGATAACTATAGAGCTACAGTTAAAGAATGTCAAAGTAAGGTTAGGGCAGGGCCTCAGGCTTGTGATGGAGTTAGAGTGAGTGAACTGACATGTATAGTGAGCTATTACGCATATGACAAATGAAAGCAAGTACAGGGCTAGGCCTTTAACTTATAATGTAGTTTGAATAAGACAAAATATAGAGTTTCAACTACGACTCTGGCTTATAATGTAGTTAGATTAAGTAATATTACGTTTAAAGCTATGTCTTGGATTTATGGTGAATTTGGAGAATGTCAAAGAAGGTTTATGGTAAAATTTTAGGCCAATGACGAAGACAGGGTAAGCAAAATGTGGCTTCTAGCTAGACCTCATGCTTTTATTTTAGTGAAATCAGATTTTATATATTTTAATGATTCCTCTCTTTTACAATCTTTTGTTTTAATCATGTTTTTAATTTCTAGTTTACTTTTTAAATTATAATTTGAATTATTTTTGTATTTTATCATTTGTAAAGCAATTTTAATGACTACAGTGTATGAAAGGTACTATAAAATTGCCTTGCCTCTCTTAAATCTTCTTTTAAATCACAAATTACTTATTTATAAAACTGTACAAATATTCATTTATTGAATTGATGGTTACATATTCATCTCTTTAGTTCCTTTCACATGAGCTCTTTTATATCTAATCTCTTATTACTTACTCTATTGCATTTTTCTCTATATATTTTTTTTTCTTTTTAATGTTTCTTATCATCTATGTACTTCTCTGGTCTGTTTTAGTATGTTATACTTGTGGACTCACTATGACAGATTCCTGGTTTGGGAAACACACTTGGCAAAATAAAGTAATTTTGATTCTAAGGAAGATAATATTATGGAACAACAACAATGACAACAACAACGACAACAACAAAAATCTGCATCTATTAGGTTATAACGTGTGGTGGAATACATTAAATGGCTGAGTTGCAAGCCAGTTTTTGCCAAAGAGAACTACAAGGTAAAGCTGGTGTTCTGTTGGGTATTTTACCACAGTTTGACCAAGATCAAAATTCAGAAATGTATGAAAAACATCCATTAATAACTTCTTTAATCCTGTATATACCAAAGAGAGAACAACACAGTGAATTTCAAAAGAAGAGATTATAAAATTTATATCTTTTTTAATAATATTTTATATTACAATATTTTATATTTTTCAGAATTACAAGAACATAAAACATGAAAAATGGAGAAATATAATCAACAGTTTAACACATGCACAAAAATACATAAAACCTCACATGCAAAGGTTTAACTAAACAAAAGCAGTCCTTAAAGTGTCTGAACATCAAAGGAAAGGCCATGGATGAGTTGTAGTCTGGCCTGCATGCAACTTTATACTGTGTAGAACAGGCATGCGTATGCCATATTGAGGAGAGGTCACCAGTATGTAGGCAATCTACATACAGGTGAGAGGAGGTCATATATACAACACATATACATAATTGCATGTAATTTGCATATAGTTAGGTCCATAAAAAAGTCATTGTTTAGCCATCCAGCACAGCATATTGGAGTTGAAATGAAATAACAAATATGAGCTCAACATGCACACCTTCATTTGAGGGCATTACATCTAAACCAGGTGAACGATGCAGGAATTGCTACCATTTTCATATATCGCTCTCATTTTTAGGGGCTCAGAAGTAACTGGACAAACTAGCAATCACAAATTAAATTGTCTTTTTTACTCTGTGGCAAATCCTCTACTCAATCACTGGCTAAAGTCTGGAACCCATAGTCATCACAAGAAACTGGGTTTCTTCTCTGTCAGACTTTTACTGCAGCTGTCTTTGACATCATATTGAGAGTTAACAGCAACAGATTCCAAATGCCACACTTGAAATTGACTCTAGACCTCTGCAAACTGGGAGGTGAAACAATGAGAGAATAACACAGGTGAGCAGCTGAGCAGCCAGCTGTCTAATTATTTTTAAGCCTGAAGTCAGTGTACAAAAATGGTTGTAATTTCTACATCATTCATCTGATTTAGATGTAAATCTGTGGCTGAAACACCTAAACTCAATGATTAGGAGGGATATCCCAATACTTCTGGCCATATAGTGTATTTCCTTTGTTAAAGTCCTCAATAAGAAAACTTTTAACATACGGCATACAGAAAACATCTCCAAAAAGTTTAAAGGAAAGACAAAGTGGCATTTTCATTGCAAAAACCTTTGACTAGGTAATGTGTATGAATCAAAGGAACAAAAGAGGAGTCAAGCACATTGTCAAATGTTTGTCAAAACATCTATCACTGCATCAGAAACACTATACTGGCTTAGACATACTAAACTAGACATCTTATTGTAATCAACACCTTAATATTTAATGTGGAGTTTTCACTCATTTTAGGGAGAAGATGTGGCACTGTGCCTTCTCATTGGGTGAACAAGCTGCAGTCCCTAAAAATAGCCTGAAATCTGGGCTGGAAGCACCACTCCCTGGAGACTTAGGGTTACACTCATTACTGTCCATTTCCACCACTGATCTTAGTGCACTTGTGTGTCTTCACAGTCTTTGAATGTCTGTAACTCTTCACACAATCGGAGCAGTGATAGGGCTTTTCTCGCGTGAATGCGCTGGTGTTTTTTGAAACTACTCTGTACAGTAAAACTCTTCCCACACTCTGAGCAGTAATACGGCTTCTCTCCTGTGTGTAGGCGAAGGTGTTGTTGAAGAGTACTCGGATGTTTAAAACTCTTCCCACACTCTGAGCAATAATATGGCTTCTCTCCTGTGTGAATGCGCTGGTGTCGTTGGAGTGAACTCTGTATAGTAAAACTCTTGCCACAGTCTGAACAGTGATACGGCTTCTCTCCTGTGTGAATGCGCTGGTGCTCCTGGAGATGACCCTGTTGATTAAAACTTTTCCCACACTCTGAGCAGTGATACGGCTTCTCTTCTGTGTGAATTAGCTGGTGTCGTTGGAGATTACTCTGTACAGTAAAACTCTTCCCACACTCTAAGCAGTAATATGGTTTCTCTCCTGTGTGAATGCGCTGATGTGCTATGAGAGTACTCTGTCGAGTAAAACTCTTCCCACACTCTGAACAGTAATACGGCTTCTCTCCTGTGTGAATGAGCTGGTGTTTTTGGCAATGAATCTTTTGTGTAAAACTCCTCCCACACACTGAGCAGTAATACGGCTTCTCTCCTGTGTGAATTCGCTGGTGTATTCTGAGAGCACTCTGTTCAGTAAAACTCTTTCCACACTCCAGGCAGTAGTGAGTTCTCTCCTTGCTGCATTTCTGTGTTTGTCTGTGAGATTTATTCATGTGGAGGGAACCAGATGGCATTTGCTGAGTACTAGAATGTCTTCTGGATGCCATATTCTTATATTTAACCTGTTTCAGCAGTTTAACGTTCCTCTTGGTGGAGAAGACTTCACATAGGACATCATTCATTTCTAGAAGAAAAAAGAAAAAAAAGGAAAGAAAATTTGAATTCAATATGCAACAAAAGTATGAAGTGGAGCACTCATGATCCAAATTATAAATCAATGTAATGACTGGTATTATTTGAACACTGCCACCATCACGTGCTATGGTAAACAAAATTATTACAAACTCTATAGGGTTTATCCTATGTACATTTTTCCACTGAATGCTACTGGATCCTCTGCTTTACACTATCATTATATTTACTACATGCATTTTTTGTAAGGACTGAAAGCTTATTTGACTCATTAGGCCGTAATCCAAGTCATGTGTAGACAATTTCAGAACATAATAAATTATGTGATTCTTCAAACCTCTTACGGTGCTTACTCTTTGCAGCTATGGGCTCATCAAGGGAGCTGAAAGAGGATCTGAAACTAAAGATAATTCTTACAAAGCAAGAGAACAATATAAAATATATCTGAATATTGTCTGCTCATAAACTTTCACTGTCTGAAATGGCATTAAAGGGGATCTATTATGCTCATTTTTAGTTTTCAGAATTTTATTCTTGAGGTCTACTAGACTAGATTTACATGCTTCCATGTTCCAAAAACACATTATTTTTTTCATACTGTATATCTCTATTCACCCACTGTCTAAAATGCTCTGATAGAGCTCCTGTAACTTTCAACCCACACTCCAGACAAGCCCAGTGTGCTCTGATTGGTCAGCTCTCCTGTTCTGTTCTGACTGGTCAATTGCCAGAGCGGTTCTGCCCCTACATGATCCACCCCTCTCTTTCAGTCTGCAGATATATCCTTCTCTCCAGCTCTTTTGCTAATGGTGTCGGTTCTGCCATATTAGTTAAAAGCAGAATCTGATCCCAAAAGTCAGGTCAATGTCTTCTCGACTTGGCTACAAATCTGATTAAACTCTTCCCAGCTTCCAGTATTTGCTCTGCATTGTGTGGGCATGCCAAGTTTGTCAGTAGGCAGGCAATAAGCATCGTTTTACGAGAGTGTGTGATTATGTAACAAAGGAAAAGGGCTGGAATTCCAACAAGGAGTTTTGGGCAGCTGAGAAAAGTGGCTACTGTGAGAGAGAGTTACTCCCTCTAGCATGTACTTTTAGCTTTGTAACGACCTGTTTACATACACAAAAAGCTATGTAACACACTAAAAAACAGTAAAACATAATAGGTCCCTTTAAAGAAATAAAAGTCAAGGATAACTTTTAAAGTCAAGGCAAGATCTGGCAAACCAAGGCTAGGTATGCCAGGCAAAACCCCCACATCACTGCCAAGAACCTGCAGGAAGGCAGGCATGGGAACAATGATGCCTTGGCCTGCTGTGCAGTGTTGTTGCACAAGCATCACCTGCATGGAAAGATTATCAGAAGGTAACCTTAACTGTGATGTCAACACAAACGTCTACTTCTTAAAAGCAAACAACTCTTAGATAAACCAGAGGCATTTTGGAGTCAAGTGCTGTGGTCTAATGAACCAAAAACTGAACTCTTTGGCTACAATCACCATTGACTGAGAGGGTGCCCAAACCTTTGCGCACACCACATTTTTTTTCCCCCCCTCTAATAAGGTAACATTGCATGTACATTTGTAGAAACATAAATATTTAATGCTTATTCCATGTAGATGTTGGATTAATTTTCCATTTAGAAAATACACAAAACATGTAATTTGACTAAGACTGGGACTGTATAAGAAACATTCTGAGAATGTTATAGGAAAGACTTGTTTGCTTTGTATTCCTCTTTGTTATCTGTGTCAGACATGAAACTTTATTCCTAAGAGGTTGAGGGTTGGCTATCCCTTCCATGTGGTGTTGCAGTTCTGAGAGTGTGTGTGTTTTAAATTATTAGTTAGACTACAGTACATGACGGTCTGTAATTGGCTGCGCAGGTGTGATATTCCAAAATGGCCCTAGAATTGTAAGGTTCTATCAGACATTTTCACCAAAATTGATTTATGTATAGTAATCTATTTATTATAGCAAAATGTACCTAATCTGCAAAGCAGCAAGCTAGCTACCTGTGTAGTAAGATCAACTATCTAGCTTTGTAAAATAATGGAATGAAAGGACATTTTAGACATTTAATTTAAGAAATGCTGAAGGTTACTGCAGTGAGAAAGCAACAGTGAGACAGAGGCACATTAGAGGACAGAGGACAGGGAGAGAAAAACAACAAACACAGCTGCAGCAAAGAGATAACATTTCTAATGCTGGTGGACTGAAGTAAATAGTGACAAAAAAGTATTCAGACACTTCTGTTTTTTTTTGTTGTTAAGTATACTTCCAGTGCATATAACCACATACAATTTACACAGGTAATGTCTTTTGACTTTAATTTTATAAATACATAAGAAAGATATGTATCCATTAGCATAAACAAGGATTTCAGACAATGTATTAAAATATACATTTATGTAATGGTTAAAAAAATAAAAATAAATACATAAATAAACTTTTACATATTAATGCTACAAATGTTACATGTTCCTGTGCAAATCACACTCTGTGTTATTATATTAAACGTTGCCATTGGTTGGGAAAATTTCATGCAACAAGTAGCAATCACAGTGAAGTGAGCTTCCTAAAGTTCCCAGGGACATCATTATTAAACAACACTTGTACGGAAAAAATCTACAGAGCTCTAGCAAAGACTTTGAACATCCCTGTCAGTAGAATTTTGTTTGTTTGATAATTTGTAACTGGAAATTTGGTTTGATAATGTGCAATTGGCATATGAATGAAAGCACAACTAATGGTGCACAATGCAAGATTTTCCTAACACAGAGAAGCCAGCAGTCACTTAAAGAGTGGACCTGAAAGCAGCAGGAACAACAGTTATGTAGAGAACAATAAGCAATGAACTGCAGCGCAATCACTAAAACTGGTAGTTGTTGGATTATTAGGTTGTCAATCCTAGAAGAATCTGAGTGGGACATCACATTTTTTTTTGCGCATAAGACAAAATGGTTGTACTGTACCAGCGATTCAGCTACAGGAGGACTGCAAGTGGCAAACAGCAATGCACCAGGAATAAAATGGTACCATTACTGCAAGGAGACTAAGCTCTATGATTATGTTAATTAAATTAAAAAGTAATTTTAATCATGGTGCCAGGGCTGCCATTTTGCTGTCATTCAAACACTGCAGTAAGAAAAAACAGCAGTAGGAGACACTGAACAAAATACTTGCCATGATAAAAACAAGTCTTAAATTTTATCTTGGGTTGCACACAAGAGCAATAATGACGAACATAACCAATATTTTCTGCTGATTTTGGCCGATGCTTTCAGTGTTAATAAGCCAGTTAATGACTGTGCCACATTCAGAGTTGGATACCGTTTATCTAATACAACATGATTTGATATGACAACTTTCCTGCTTAAAACAAGCTGTGTTCATGCACTTCTAATCTTTAAGTCCTATCAGCCCTCCCTACATTCATCTCCCAAACACTGACAGTATCACTGTTAATGCTGTTAATACTTCTTGTAGCAGAGTGTTGAGATTCAGTACAGAGGTTTTCAAACTGTGTGTCAGTGTGGAGACGAGAGGGTCACAAGGAAACTGCATTAATGCATATATATTTTTTCTTTGAGAGCAGATCTAAATGAAGCATGTTTTAGATATTTGTGTGTTTTAGATCTGTGGAACCATGCCATTTCTGCACTAGACAGAGCTACTGATAGCTCATAGAACTCCTGTGTTTTCAATGTGGCCTTCAACCTGTTGCACACAGCACACACAGTCACACAAATTTAAAGTGCAGTTATCTAGTATTGTGGAACCAAGAGCTAGGTTCCAGATATGATGGAACCCAGCCACAGGGCGTTTGTGTCTTATTTTATTTTAAAGAATATTTGGTGGGTCATAGGGCAAACACTACTTCATGAGAGTCCTGGCATTAAAAGTTTGCAAACCCCTGATTTAGCAGATTCAGCAATGTAGCTGTACACTTAGTAAACCTATCATATTTAAACAGATATGCACAATAATATCTGCATTGGCCAATACTGGCCAAAAAAAAAAACACACACACACATTGGCATCAGACTAAAGTCTGGATTTTATCGATATTTCAGATATTTGATAACATATCCCTACTCCGCAAAACAGAACATGTTTGTTATATATTTGCAGTGTGCCCAGGTACATGAATGGGCAACCAAGTATATTTTAACACATTTAAAAGGCTTATCTTTTTTTTTTTTCTTAGTCTGTTTCAAAAAAAAGCAATGCGCTTTGACTCCAATTTATACGGAAGTCCAGAGAGGCCATGAACTGTTGTTATAATTTTCTGGACTGTTTCCTTGAGATAATGAGTTAATCATCTTGAGATCACAAGATAATTAACTTGTTATCTCAAGAAACACAGCTGTTATCTTGAGATCACCGGATAATTAACTTGTCATCTCAAGATAGCAACTTTTGTTATCTTGATATAACATGACATTTAACTTGTTATCTCAAGATAACAATCCAGAAAATTTTAACTACCCCATGGCCTCTCTGGACTTCCATAAATTTGGCTCCTTACGTTACATGAACACAGCTCGGGTCTCGGGGAGGGGGGGGTGGTGACAGTGAGAGAGTGAGCACAAAAAATAAATGAGGAGAAAAAAAAGGTTAGATATTCTTCCTTCCTGCTAACTGTTAGGCTTTATTTACTCTATTATTTTGATTGTTACAAATACGGGTTAGCAGTTAGCATATGCATTTTACACAGCACTTGAATTATGAGCCTGTTCTAGCATTAACATGTGCTTCATGTCTTGATTGTATCTGGCTCTGGCTGGGTTCCATTTACACTTTTCACTAAAATTCACCCCCACTATGACCACATGAGATACGACTGTAATTTTCCTGCATAAATAGCACATCGGCACACATTTCATTTTACTTATCTTTTCATTACAATACATATCAACAAGCTTTACTTGGATGCTACTTGATCAGCCAGAGTTCAACAATGCTCCTGATTTTCACCTTTGTCAGTAAAACCCTCTGATAGGCAGTAGTGCAACTTACTGGAGCCAAAAGCCTCAAAACAAATTGAAATCATCCTCTAGTGCACACAGTATTTAATCATATTTTATTACAGCTAACATCAAATATTTGTTTTTAACAGCAGAACTGACCCGAGACATTTCCCTACCAATGGGCCATCACTTTCCCCCCATGAACAGGTGGTGTGTATATATATACACACACACACACACACACACACACACACATTGAGTGAGAGAGAGAGAGAGATGAGAATCATTTCTTTGTAGTAATCTTTTCACTTATTTTTGATCTGGGAGTTTTGAGTTAAGTTAGCTGGATGCATTATTGTGCTGTTTTTCAGGTTTACTACACTGTACAATCATTAGTGATTTTGTTGATCATCCTTGAAGTTACATTTCCAGTTACAGTCTGAAACAGTAACACTGTTACCATAATTAATGTACTCCTAATAAGTGCTACATAAAAGCTAAACAAAATGTACAAGATGCATGAAAAAAAGTTACCTAGCACACCTATCCGAATTGCATATTTTGTTGATTTTTGAAATGAAAAGAAGTAAACATAACCTCTCAAATGTTAAGGCACAGGCACTTCATATTTAATTAACTAGATTAACTAGAAAAAAAAGGGAAAAATAAAATAAAAAAAAAACACAGTAAAAGTAGTAATTGGGGGTTGTGCAAAAGTTTGGACTTCTTTCCAGTTGTAGGATTTCTGAATTGAATTGAAGAGGAAAATCAGGTTTTGCCTATTTTTTAGTGTGAGAAGATGCTGAGTCATGAGAGAGCTTAAAAAACCTGTTTAGAGAAAAAATCCTAATGCTCATTTTTCAAATAGAGAGAAGACTTGTCTGCCAATAATCACCACAGCAGCACTTTCGCATTCAGGCACACTCATTCACTAGCTCTACCCCTTCATACTCACAATAGGAAAGAGTCTGACCAACCAGGATTTCAGAAGTAGTAGTGGACTCTGCTGAGTAGCAATAAGCAATTTGTAATGTTGTTAAGCGGGTATTCTTTTCAGCAGCTAAAGCAGTGTTAGCTCAGTTATTACGGACATTATATATCAGCTGGTGTTTTCTGCTTCTGCCAATGTCCTTCTTTAAATCCTTCTTGAAATCTTCCGTTACTGTAAAAGTGTGAACTTCTGTTTTCTTCTTCTGTGTAACTGAAGACAGATTGTATGTGCAAACATAACTGGCCAATATAGAATTACTTTTAATCTGATAAATTTGTTGCCAGAGATGTTGATTTGGAATAAGTACAGAAACTTCAAATCTGGTATTAATATCAAAGTCAAAACATTGGTATTGATCCAACACAAACTAACACACACACACACACACACACAGATTTATGCACTTACCCAATAGCAAAGCATTATTCTTTTTTTCCCTTAAAAATCAGTCACTGAATCTGAAAATCTCAGTCTGTGAAGAATATAAATCATAGGTCACCTGTTAGTACATATAAATCAATTTTCATTTCGCACTTAACACAGGTTGTACTAACACAAAGCAATGCACTGCACTGCAAAACTATCGCAAATACACATCTTGGTCTCTTTTGAGCATCTTTCATTTACAGTTTTTCATAGGAATCATTATTAATTATCAAAATTAGACATCTGTTCATCCTATCAGACTAAAGTGGGTAGGGAGAGGCAGGCTTATGCATGTGTGCTGTGTGCATGACGCAAACACTAACATATTAACATTAACACATGAACACAAGGCACATGTTCAGGCACTACTTGTTTTTGCTGTATTGGAAAAAACATACTGTAACAAGACCCTTCTGTTTCAAACTGAATTGACCACAGTCAGAAGACTATGTAATAAATGTGGCTCTGACCATTAAAGGACTTTGCAAAACATTACATTGCTTCAGCAAAAATCAACCACACCAAAAATGAGAGAGAGTCAAGGATCAAGGACCACCAGTTTTCAGGAAATTTATACCACTGGATCAGAGGATCTCAGTCCCAGTCTTGAAGACCTCAGATACACAATTTTATGCTTTCCTTTATCTAGCACGCCTCATTCACAAAAACATGCAAAGCATGGGGTCTCCGGGACTTTGACTGGGAACACCTAAACTACACCATCAAGCTCCCATACAGCTCTCACACTACACCTCCTCTAAGCAGACCTCAAAAACCTAGCCTTGACACTCTTACCAGCTCTTAATCTATCAACAATTAACCAGCAACCTCCACCCAGACATTAACAAGAAGCACTTCACATTGTTCTAGCAGAGGTCAGCAACCTAACTGTTAAGAAGAGCCATTTTGTCCTTCCAACAAAAATCAATCTGCCTTGGGAGCCACAACATTTTATGTTTACCATCTTGGCTGTAAATATGTCTCAGTATGTGCTAATGTACTAGTATAGGCTAAAAAATATAAATGAAAATCCAGAGATATTTGGCTCTGCTTTAGGCTTTAGCTTAGCTATAGCTGCTTTTCTTGCACCTTTGGAAGGAAACTTTTCCGTAAAGGCTTGTCTCCAAATTATCGTGTTCATCTTAAATCTCTCTCTTTGCCTTTTTGTTAGCTGCTAGCTATGCGACTTATCTGCGTTGCCATAGTGACCAGCAGTCTGCGTGCCAACCTTCAGGGTTAAAGGGCAAATTAGCAGTTAAACATTAACTCCAGTGTTTAAGACCATTTATTGTTAAAACTGGGTTAGAATGATCATCAGAGCTTTATTTTACTGCAAAGGAGGATTATTTTATTTTTTCCATCTAATTCTGCTGTGCAGCCGCAACATGGCAGTAAATGCTGCCGCATGTTGCCGACCCCTGGCCTAGAATAAACTGTGATTTTCTCACCACATTATACACACCTTGGATAATATCAGCATATACCATTCGATGTTTCTACATTAACTGCAGCTACATGTCTAATATGGCATGACCTCTATTTGCACGTTGTTTTTGCAAGGGAATGGCTGATAAAATCTGCGTTATGTTCCCAAACTGAGAGTAAAACACAGAAAATCATGAAGGACTTATCTTTACGGTTTTCCTGACAATAAGTACGTTTACATTCACACAAATAATACGATCAATAATGTAGGAGTTGACTTGATAAACACAAAAGAACAGAAGCACATGAGAAAAGCCAGGCCATTATAAAAGGCTGTTCAAAGGGACATGTCTTCCTAGAACTAACTAGGAAAAGCTGTCACGAAAGCAAGACAACATTTAAGAACATTTTGAAATAACTGTTTCAATAAGTAGTCTGTTTATAGCGTAAATCATAAATACATCAGGATAAAATAAATCTGGCCCAGCATTCACGCTCACATTACTCAGCTCTGGTATGAATGAAGCTGCTTTTGTGTTGTTTAATCTACTTCAAACCCATCTAATCTTATTTTCAGACTCAAATGTGTCTCCAGCTGTTTGTCTCAGTGAATGAAGAACAGTGAGTGTTAAAGTGTCGGACAGATTCCTACCTTCAACAGTTCAGCTCTTCTTTTTGTTCCTCCAACAACACTGTATGAGCGCGGAGGCGTGGACTGCTGACCACAACACAATCTTCTGCTTCTCCGCTTTAGCGCAGTTGGAGAAAGTTGTAGTTACACAGTTAGCGCCACCACCTGGCCTGAAGCGGCTTCACCCTGGAACCGCGCAGTCACGGAAACAGGCGGAACGGTAGTCATTTTAAATTCCACCCGTATTCAGTCAAGTCCCGGCTCCAGCGCTCTGAATGGGTAATAGCAAGGACTCAACCGTGGTCTGAAAATTGGAGGGTTAAGCAGGACCTCTTTAGAAATTATTAAACAGCATTCAGAGAAATTATAGAAC